ACCCAAATACGATTAGCAACAATGACTATGATGGGTTTATTGATAAATGTTGAAGGCGATTCAGATGATTCCTAAATTTAGAAGACATGAAGATATAGTTTAACGTATGTGCGGGCCAGGTTGACAAGCAGGTTGTTGACGTATATGACAATTTCAAAATAATGAACATCACCAGATAAATAATTTTAAAGTTAAGACTGCTTGTGAAACTTCAGGTAGGAATATGATGCGTTATAAACATTCCATAAGAAGTTACTGTATTTAGCCTAGGGACACTTACAAATATATTGAAAAAGCAACTGGAAAACATATACATGTTAAGTACAAAAAAAGCATTAAGTAAAATAGTTGAACTCACCTGGATTATTTTTGAAAATTAGATTATTCAGTGGACGACATATATAAGGAGTAGTAATGATCCAAAAGTATCCACAATAAAACATGCAGTATGGTAATCACTTTCAGGGTGCTCGATGCTGTTGAGGTTTTTGGGACTCGCTCTGATCAGAACAACTGAATGAATCCAGATAATTGTGTGTGCCATTGAATGAACCATCTAAAATGAACTTATGACTGCAGAAAACGTATAGCTGGAACTCACCGTGTTTTTGGAGAAGTGTCATCCTTGTTGTTTGGTAATGGAACTCGAAATATGAAATTAGGCAGGCAGTGGTCGGAAGGAAAGATATTACAGGATAGTGCATAGTTTAAAAACAGGATGTGTTAAGTGAAGGAACAATAAGAATTAGATTCAGATAACTATCTAGTCCTTGATTGCATTGTTAGTCGATGTATATTCACGTTATTTTTAGATAGAGCTAGATGCTTAAACAAGTTTATTCCGCAGAAGCATGTAAATGCTATTAAAGCTTGTTAATGAACCATCAAAGCTAATTGATTTAGATAACCGGTTATTGGTATCGATTGAGTTAGTATGTTATGAGTACTAACCAATAAAACATCACGATAATGCTTGTGAGCATTAATCAGAGGACTATTAGAATAATGGATTTACACAAATAAAAGTCTATTGAGAAGGTTAAGGTGGATCTAAGGATTAGCAATAATAGGCTGCGTTTCTTTTGTTGGGCTCACCAATGTGGAACTATGGTCTACTATGATATTAGTACTGCTCTAATAATAGACCTAATCCTAAATTTGCAGATTTGTCATGATATAACTGCCTAATCTATAAGATCTTACGTGGAAGTCACACTATCGACTACACCAACTCACTGTATCGTATCAATTACCAATACATGATGTAGAACAAGGTTAGGCTAGAGAAAGAACAATATATTTAATATGAATAGAAGATATAAAGTAACATTGAGATGGACCACGCCTGCATGGACGAGCCATGCCATCCGACCAAACCCAGTCCATTCAATTCCTTCTCCGCGCCTTCTCCATCGTGAGGTATTTATCCGCGTTAAATATTGAATATCTATATTCTGAGTAGTCTCGTGTTCAGCTTTGTGGATTGTGTGGTTATTGTTCAATGCCACTACAAGGCCACCTAGAATATTTTATCCGAGCGTCAAGTCCATGTCTTCTTATTAGAATGCCGAGATGCTCGAGAGCGTTTGACGTATGAACATCAAGTTAGTGGCTGGCATTTCTGAAATCTCCTACGACAGGTGGTCGGATCGCCCAAACATTTTCCATCGTTCGTAGGAAGGAAGTTGGTCTTATATCGGTTTTCTGTATCTTAAATAGTGAGTTGAGCGTTAAAACGTCTTTTAACTTTTGTTTCATCGAGAGTAGTTGCCTGCGAGACCACTGCAAGAAGGCTAAAAAACAGTGATCGAACCAACACAGTGATATTCCCTTTTCGTCGTCAATGACTAGAAAGCTATACCGAGAAAATTATCAGCCCCATCGGTAAGTACTTTCGGAGAGAGGCCGTACCTACACCTGAAAAGAAGCTTAAAGCTTTGGTACAAGTCACAAGGCTTGGTATATTTATTATTGAAAACTGAAGACAGGTGCAAACTGAAATTTAATTCTGAACCTTCGGTCATGTATGGGACTGAAACAGGCTTCGGATCTGTTACACCAATGCACGATGCTTACTTAATAAGCGATCAGAACTAGGTGTACAGGTTGATTCTACAAAGCCAGACATGATCGCAGTAACAGAAACCTGGTTGACACAGGCTATAGATAGTATGGAACTTGATTTCGAGGGTTTTACGTTAGTAAGGGCCGACAGAACACAAAAGCGCAAAGGAGGGGGAGTAGCTCTATTCATTAGGAATGCTATCCCATTTGCCATTATCGATAGTGTATCCCATGAGAGTGTGACGTGTGAATTAGTTAGTTGCCGCTCGAAATGCAAGGGACAAGAGCTGCTGATTGGTTTGGTCTATCGCTGTCCAAGCTGTGAGGCAAATGAGATCCTGTTAAGCAGTCTCAATGCTTGGTCCCAAAGTGGTCGATGTCTAATCCTAGGGGACTTCAATGCACCTATGGTAGACTGGGAAAATCTGCGAACTAAATCGTCAGAGAATTCTTTCGAGCAGGAACTAGTTGATGGGGTTATCACATGTGCCCTAGTGCAACATGTGGAAGAAGCGACAAGGTACGATCTGGACACTGAATCATCCTTATTAGATCTTATACTAACTCACTATGAGGATGATGTTGCGAACCTCCATCATATGCCACCCCTAGGTAAAAGTGATCACGCAGTTTCAGCTTTCGACTTCCATATAACTGCCAGTCACGAGCACGCGTCAGTCCAGTTCAGACCCAACGTCTGGAAAGCAAGAATACCAGACATCATGCACTCAGCATCGCTAATAGATTGGACAATAGACCCAGAGTCCTCAATTGAAACGGCCTGGGACGCATTTCGAAATTCATACTTAAAAGTTACCACACCTCACATCCCTTGGACTATACCAAAGGGGCCGACAAACTCACCATCATGGTTCAGTAGGGAGGTCCGTATCCTTCTCCGTAAGAAAAGGAAATGTGGATAGATTTAGGTTACTGGGGACTGATGAGTCAAAATCTCAGTATCGAAGGGCTCGGAATACTTGTGCCTCGACCCTCCGTAAGTCTAGAAAACTGTACGAAGGAAAACTTAATAAGGAATCCATAGAATGTCCTAAACGCTTGTATTCCTATATAAATCAAAGGACAAGGAGAAAAGGAAATATTCCTGCTCTATGGGGAGACAGTACTGCTTCATCATTAGTGGAGGACGACTTTGGTAAGGCTCAAGTGTTCTCGAACTACTTTAGCAACGTATATACCATAGAAGCGCCCTTCCCGTCAGCGTATACAGATCCCCCCATACATACACTGGATAGCGTGACCATTAAAGAACTCGATGTCTTTGGTCTGCTAAATAAGCTTGACATATGTAAATCCACGGGGCCCGATGAATTACATCCTAGGCTACTGAAGGAATTATCTAACTTCGTTGCAAGCCCTTTAAGTACATGCTTTAACCTATCCGTTACGCACGGTCGTTTACCGAAAGACTGGAAAAACGCCATAGTAAGTCCTGTCTTCAAAACAGGCACGAAACACAAACCTGAGAACTACCGCCCCGTTAGCCTAACTAGTGTGGTTGTTAAAATATTAGAAAAGATTATTCGGAAGGAGCTGTTTAAGTATCTCGATAAAAACCGGATCCTCTCGGAGAAGCAGCACGGCTTCAGAATAGGTTATTCTTGTCTCACTAACTTGTTAGTGGCTCATGAAAGCTGGTGCGCTCTTAAGGACCAAAAGCTACCTGTAGACGTCGCCTTCATTGATTTCAGTAAAGCTTTTGACAAGGTTCCGCACAACCGGCTGTTATATAAGTTAAGAAAAGTCGGGATTGGAGGCAATTTATTGATGTGGATAAAAGACTTTTTAGTTGGGCGTCAACAAAGAGTAAGGGTGAACTCAAAGTTATCTAGCTGGGAAACTGTGCTTAGTGGAGTGCCCCAGAGTACAGTTTTGGGGCCAGTGCTATTCCTCTTGTATATAAATGACCTTCCTTGTCTCCTATCATCATCGGTCTTGCTGTTTGCTGACGATGTCAAGATATGGAAAACGATGCGACGTAAGAGTGATAGCTTAGAACTTCAAAATGACCTGAAGAAGTTATCTGAATGGTCTCAAACATGGCAGTTGCCAATAAATACTTCCAAGTGTGTTGTGATGCATATCGGTCATCAAGGCACAGATACATACACGATGAATAACACTGAGCTACCTGTCGTCCAGACATATAATGACTTATATGTTATCGTTAGTCAAAACTTAAAGACCACTACACACTGTCATGCAATAGCCTCCAAAGGTTTTAGAACCTTATGGTCAATACGTAGAGCTTTTAGTCATGTCGACGCTAAAACGTTTTTGACTTTGTATACAGTGTTCGTTCGCCCTAAACTTGAGTACTGCATACAAGCGGCTGGCTCCTGCTTAAAAAAAGACAGTGAGCTTCTGGAAAAGGTTCAGAGAACGGCGACTAAGCTGGTTCCCGGAATAGCGAAGCTTCCGTATGAATCTCGACTGGCCAAGCTGAACCTTTTCCCGTTGTCATATCGCAGAACTAGATACGACTTGATTACAGTTTTCAAATTACTTAGTGCCAAATTTGCACCTGATATGCCCTCATTTTCCTTGTCTTCCAAAACAGAGAATTTACGAGGACACTCCAAAAAAGTTCATAAGCCGAGAACAAATTACTTGTCAGCTGACTATTGACTTTCCCATCGAATCACCAACGAGTGGAATTCACTACCTCAGCACGTGTTTGAGGTTCCATCCGTCGACTCTTTCAAAAGAAAGTTGGATCAACTGAGAGACCACCATTGCCAGGACTAACATAGGCCATCGAGCCTCCTGTCCTTCCCAAACTGAAATATCAACCTTTAGGCTTATTCTTAGCGGTATTATGTATATTTACAAGTGCGAAATCCACTAGATTTTAAGGTGTTGTTTTTGTTTTACCGTACTTATGTCCACGTCTGTGGAGTTCAGTGGTAAGGGTTGGCACACTTATTGACATAATTGCGCATGTTGGCAAGTGTGGTCTCATGAGTGATCAGACATCTCTGCCGTATCCAGGTATATTTAACTTGAATATGTATGTTCATATTACTGCTTATAATTAATTTCACATTCCTAGTAATAACAGGTCAACCGACGCTCAGCACATGGTAAGTCGACATGCACTTCTTAACACTCATGCTTTTAGGCAATGTCTTATTATGTAAGTCAATGGGGTGGTTTTATACTTGAATGTATTCGCCATATTCATGTCATAAGACACTTCTAAGTCTGCTCTCTCAGTTCTATGATTGTAGAGAGGTGGTTATGTAGTAGTTTGTTTCTTTCAATTTTTCGTCTAACTAATTTAAATGCCTCTTGTTTTTACAGCCTCAAACAGGTGCACGCTTAGGTAAGCCCACTGACTTAATAACTTTCCTCTAGAAAGTGTAGGCGTACCTGCCCCTAACCCGTTCTATCCTCTCCGCCATCCGGATCAGCTCCCTCGGTTTTTTTGCGGTGGTATGACACAAGCTCCATTTCTTTGCATGTCTGTCTCCGACGTTCAGCCGCACGACCACATGGGTGTCGCTGCGCACACTGACTGTGCTCAGTACCAGCATACTTTTTACAACCCTATTATTCCCGCCATCCAAACAAATCCAAACCAGGCAAGCGGAAACCAACCGCTTAATACTGCGCTACCAAAGCCAGTACGTGAAAAGAAACCATTAAGTGTGTTTGATCCTGTAACAAAATCAGAACTCAATCTAGAAGAAGCATCAAGAATCCCTTCTGAATCACGCAAGAAAGAACCATTAATTATACAACCTAAGGCGGATGAATCGCCTCCCATATCTCAAACAAAAGACGAAAGCGAAAAACCTGTCTGCACTGAGTACAAGGATGAGGGTATATCAAGCGTAGAGACAGCGTCACAAGAAGATGCCCCACCTAAAGAAAGTGTGGGTTCAGACGACTTGTGTAATGAGGTCCTTGAGCATGTCAGATCGCTAGATGAACGTTTGTCACAAGAAGACGAAACAGAGTGGGAAGGTGCAAAAGAAGAGGAGGCAAAAGAGGAGACGATGGACAGACAAAGATATCCACGTGACTTCATTCTTTCTTGTAAAGCTTCAGGCGTTGTATTGTCGTTAGATAACTATAGGGTAAGAAACCACTTTTCTAATTTTGATGTAATAAACCTAGGATATCATGAATAGCTTTGCAAATATAAAAAGGGTAAGTGCTCTTTAAGTTAATTCTATCTGTTAGACTCGTAATCAATCTAATTTTATACACAAAGGCAGAGTTATTCAAATACCCACAACTATTACTATCAAACGTGTTGAAGGTGCTTTCGTCCCGTCAAAACTTGTTAATCACGGAGCCAATAATGTAACAGATAGCTCAAAGGATGTCGCTCGAGAGCTAAATATGATTTTGAACCGTGTTTCGGCCAGCAATTTAGAAGTGACTATCAGTGATATTGAGAAGCTTAACATCGCAACACCCGAAGATCTCAGTCTTTTGGCAAGAACGATTTTCCAAAAAGTAAGTCCAAGTGCTCGTACTAGATGATTAGTTTATTAGTGTAGTTAATTACATGGGAGAGGAGCAGATGTACTATTGTTTATGTACAAGACTCAGTGATTCCCTATCATGCACCGGATGGCTCTGTGTTGTATTTAGAAACTAACAATACAGATCTCAATACAATGTCTATAGTTTCAACAAGCATGAAATAATATGATAGGTGGTGGTTTCCACATAACCTTTGCTTAGAACTAAGCACACCACATACGAAAAGTTTTGAATGCCATTCCTGTCCGTAAGTCCTAGTGACTAATCCAAAAGGGTTCCTTGTGCACTTAATTTCCGCTTCATAAAGGTGTGCTCCGTCTGTCTGCACCAGCTTGTGTGCCTAGAGTATTTTGGTATATGTACTGACAAAGGATAACTGTAAGGGCACTTACAAATGGGCCGAATAAGTTAGGTAAAAGTACTACAGCATTTGTCAGCGGCTATCAGCAACTATATTTTTGATTTTTCAGCTTTTCAGACCAGGAAGTGAATTTGTCCACTCACAGGGTGCTAGTGCATTTCTTTTTAAGTATTTCTTCACTACTTGTGGGGTGTCCCCGAATATTTGAGGAAATGAAAATTGGTTAAGATGGATTTTCGTCACGTGGATTTACAGTATAAATCCTGTTCATATGCGTTAAATGGATTTTACACTGGGACTCATGTTGATTGACGATTACTCTTAAGCTATGACCAATGATATTTATATATAGCTAGTTATCATGAATGTATCTTGAGTTCTGATGGATCTCGAGCAACAGAGCTAACAAGTGAACTCACTATTGTTAGTAATACAGGGAAGAAAAATAGCAGTAGTCTTGTTCGCAGTATGGGTTACAAAATTGTGGTTTAGCTCTCTAACATGCCAGTATTGTATAGTAAACATTGCCAAAGTTTGTCTATTACATTAAAAAAAACTGAATGTCTTTATGTTCCAAAATTAAAACTGTCTTCAGTGCACCAGAAACCAAGTCCCAATCTGGTTTTTTATATGTTTGCTGATGCGAATATGCTTACCTAAATTCAAGTTTTAGTCAAAGTAGGTGCTACAGCAATTTGTCCGTAAAATGATTATCTGTGTTGATACGAGTCAGACGGAAGTTTAACTTAGTGCTCCAGATGGTCCCGCTACAATCCTTGGACCACAATTCTCTAAAATCCCTAAAATCAACTCAGTCTACTGATCGCTTTCAATTTGATTACCTAGTTAATTTCGAAGCTCTAAACCCACTATTACTCTTACTGTTAGTAGATGATAGGCATTGATCTGGTTAGTCTTTCCTACCCATAATTCCAGGGATGAATTTTTGTAAAAACAATACAGTGGTATGTTTTGATCCTCTCACTTTTCTCCTAAATTTTCACACTGCATACATTTATTGCTTTCCAGGTTATCAGGCAATCAAAATACTGTAAAGTTTTCGCGAATTTATGTAAAAACCTAAAAGGGGTATGTTTAAAAAGTTGCGTAATACCTTTTAGTTGGAAGTACAAGGTTCAGAACGCTTTCCAGTGTTAATTCTACAACAAACACAAGAGCTGTTCAACAAACCATTAGATGTATGTTTAAATAATGTTTGATCATCTTTCAGGTTCTGATAACTGAATTAAATGCCACCATTGATGCTAAAATTGCAGCAGCCAAGGATGAATCAATAAAACGGATGCTTGAAGATGACCGAGAAACAAACATTCAGAAGACAACTGATTCTTACTATGGAAATATAACGTTCATTGCTGAACTCTATCTTGTTGGATGTATTCCAATAAAAACTATGACTGAATGCCTGAAAAAATTGAAAGATTCTTCAGCTCCCGAAGCTTTAACCTCTCTCATAATTCTTCTAAATATATGTGGCAGTAATCTTGAAAAAAATTCTAAGTCTGTTTTGGATCAGTGCTTCAAGCGACTCGAACAGTTAAAAGATTCGAAAAACATTGAGACGCATCAAATTTTCAAAGTACACGAGTTAGTGGAATTACGTTCGCGTGATTGGAAATCTGCTAATATTACCCAACCTCAACCACAAATAGATACTTCCAGACGAAATATAGATGATAAACTAAAGCGGAACTTCATTCAGTTAGATACAAGTAAGCTTCCTTTAAACTAAGTCAAATTTTTAGAACGTAAATCTGTTCAGTCAGTGAATCCCTTAACGCCTTCCAGTTTAGCTGTTACTCCACAATCCTACGATTCTCGAAAACTTGGTCCAACTGTGGCTAATTGGAGTCAAGGTAGTGGTTTACTACGGCCTTCTGAAGATAAGTAAGTTCTTAAAGTAAATTCGGCATATTACAAGAAACAACTCGGTTTCCGTTCATGTGATTATTTATGTTTTACATAAGCAACAAGAGGCTTCATGTAATTTAATTGCATTTATCGTGCTTACTCCTAATGAAATTATACACTTCAATGCACACTCTTGTCTTGTGTGGTGCATATATATTTGGTGCCCCCCTTGTACCAATATTTATGTGTTCAAATAAATAAATAATAAGTAAGTACAATATTGTCATATGAAAAGGGTTATTAATGATATAGTTTAACGTCATCTAGTCTCTCAAAACTATCCAAATTTCAGGCAAATTTCATCATAATAAGCCTCCTAGTATGTATGAATAGATTTTTGATTTGCAGTCAAATTAATTGGAAAAGATTATATTAGCACGTAAATGACTTTCAAGAGAATGAAACTAAACTTTAGTTGTTTTTAAGTAGGATAAGCGTCTACGATGTAGTAGAAAGTATACTGCTATAATTCATAGTCGTACAAAGATTTTAGTTAGTATTTATGGTCCAAACTCAGAGTATCGCCACTAACTTTTCGAGTAACAATTGACAGTAATTTAACGCGGATGCATTTTTGTAAACGTTAAGCTGATCTAGTTAATACATTCTCATAGCTTCTCGAGTTCCCATAATGAAAAGTCGGCTATTAGCTTGTACATTAATTTTCTGGATACTTATTATTCACCATTATCAACATTTATCCTTTCTCTGACTTCTGTCAAGCCATTCAAAGCGCATTCAACAGTCAGTACATTCTCGTGAATCATCCCCACGTGTCCCTGTGGGGCCCCAGGGTGCGTGGGCTCGTCCTCTGCCGTTAGGACAAAAGGTAAAAGAAAATGACTATGAATCAATGCTTGAGGAAACGAAGGGTCCTGCTCGTTCAATAGTGGATACAGTTTCAATGCCGGGTGATGATTGTGTACGTCTAAATCTAACTATTATATGTTTTGTGTTAATTTTTCCCTATTTGACACTAGCGCTCAACCGTTCGGTTGCATTTCAAAAACTTAAATCAACCTAAGGATGAAAAGCGAGTGTCTGACGCTTTAACTATGTTGATTGACACGGGTGATCTGCCCAAGAGGGTTGGAAAATACTGATTACAAACTAATGGTGCGTATGGGCTCCAGTATCCTGAAGGAACAAATTGCATATGAACCAATCGTTGGTCACTGGCTACCATGGGACTGCATCTCCTAACGTTGCTCCACTGCCTTGTGTACTAGACATTTAAGTCTAAGACTCCGGGTGTTTTACGCCGAGAAAACTACCTACTTCGATCTAGGCACCCGAGCAGTATCACAGCCCACCACAAATCAAGTACATTGTGTGGCCCAGATGTATTCGGTGCCCCTTTGTACCAATCCTTATGTGTTCAAATAAGGTAAATAATGGTGCAAGTTAGCAAAGGTCATTCGAACTTTCTAGATCCATGCTGGGATTCCGTAAAACATCAGCCCATCTGGTTTAAATAGATTCCCAGGATAATTTAAGCGGCGGATGTGCTCAGTCACTTCGTCATTAATCCAGGCACTAATTCAGGTCAATCATGAACCAACATTTTGCATTTGAAAGAAGGGTATCGTAATTATACTGTCTAAGCATTCGAAATATATTTTTTGCACATATTTTCTATAAGGCATTGCATAGTTTCCCTTACATTTTACGGCATAAAATCTAAATCGTATTAGTCCATATGCTCGTCTGTATCGTAAGTATACAAGAATTGATTCAGAGTACAAAATCTACGACAGTTCTGCTTGTGTATATTTAATTTGTAGCACTTGATACCAAACTATTCCGCATGCGCGGCTGTACCGATTCAACGAGTAATCGTTTCTCATGTCAACTGATAAAAATCCGAAGAGCACCTTTTTCATCTAGTTTCATTAAACCTAAACTTCTTCCTTTAGCCAAACTTTCTAAACACTTCAAATTGTTTGATTTTTTCCTCTTTAAGCATTGTACTATTGTCAAGTGTGAGCCTGAAAAACGTTCAGCTTTACTCCACAATGTTTTTGAGATTCTAATGGACTGCAACTCAAAAAAGCGAAATGAAGTTGGTCGATTTTGTGTGGATATGCTTCATAAAGGAATCCTTACAGAAAATAATATTATTACATCGTAAGTTTGTATATTGCTATTGAAATCGAACTCATCGTGAGCGTGTGTCACACGAAGGGCTACTTTTATAACAGCTGTTCTGTGCTTTTAAATGTAACGTTCATATTAAATTGAGTAAGGAAACTTTCGAAATATGTGATTAAACACGTGCAAAGTACGTAGTAGAAGTTTTCTGTGGAAACGCTTCAATTTTATATGCGAATATCATGTATACACATCCCATAACAACATCTGCGTAAATGCACGTTCATTTGTCAAAGCTGCATCATACAACCAACTTTTTATTTTGTTTCTTTAAAGTACCACTGATTTTCTCTCTCGAACTGTTACAACTGAAGCTACTTATTACCTATAAATAGTTTTAATTGTCTTAAGAAACGTCTTTTAAAACAAATTCCTATCATGACTAACCAATAATATGCAGTTCTGTAGTGTCAGCCTATTATGAGCAGTTAATTTAGGGCGAACATCACATCCATCCTGCTTTATGTAAGTTATGCAATTTATTATCATTTATAATCTCATTTAAATGTAAATTTTTCAGATGTGAAAACTTCTTCAAATTATGCGATAGTGATTGGCTTTCGGATTATCCACAGGGTTGGCTCTACGTTGCAGAAATCCTTCATCATCTTGTACGTGGCGAATCCGATTATATGACTACTCTTCTGCGGTCAGTTGAGTCTATCCGGTCTGATGACCGGGCTGCTGAATTGGTGGCAGACTGTATTAAACTAAGCAAAGCATCTACAAGTGTTGAGCAACTTGTAAAAAAACTCCAGGCCTGTGGCTTTATGTGGGACAAACTTGGTGTTACAGGAAGCAAAACATGGGACTTTGCTTATCAGCGGTCCATAGAGTTCACCATAATTGGAGTTCATAGTTTCGAATCTGGAAAACTCAATGAACTTAATGAACTAACTACGAACCCTTCGTCTCCTGATAAAATTTCCAGTTATTTTAATACACTATCTCAACGTAACCTGTCTAAATGGTTTATGCAATCGATCATGCCAATTTTGCTAAAATCTCCAGGTTTGTCAGTTTTCAGTGTCATCGGTTGATTTTCAAACATTATACTGAATTTTCCTGTCGCGGTTTAGACGTGGGTTTATGGCATCGTATTGAAAATAATAAGCTCTGTATGTTAGATTAAGCTTGCTGAATCTAAATGTACTATAGTTAACCTCAGAATTGTCCATGTAAATACTTCGTCAAAATAGATTCATATTTGAATATTTCAGAGTGTTTGCAATTCTAGGGAATTTAGAAATTAGCTCTCTGCAAACAATCTTCATTTCTTAAAAAAGATAACTCATTCTTGTCTGTATTTGTATGTGATTTCAGATGGTGCACACAACATACTTAGATTGTAATCAGCTTTTACGATAGTCTTTTTATGTCTTTATGTGTTAGTTTATCTTATGTGTATTGATGGTCATTATTTTTTACTTGTACAGATCAATCAAAAACGAAAATAGATTCGTTTGTGATGTCCCTCGGTATTTTGGTTGACCACAAGCCTGATAGAGAGCTTCACATTTTAAGTGGTTTTCAAGATCCGTCATCAAATCAAGGTAAATTAAATTTTATTCTCTTAGTGTTGCATCATTACTTACTTGCTTACACCTGTTACTCCCAATGGAGCATATGCCGCTGACCAGCATTCTCCAACCCACTCTTTCCTGGGCCTTCTTTCCTAGTTCCATCCAATTCTTGTTCATTTTTCTCATGTCTATCTCCATTTCCTGGCGTAATGTATTCTCTCCCTCTTTTCCTTTGACCTTGAGGATTCCATGTGAGAGCTTGTCTTGTGACGCAGTTGGGTGCTTTCCTCAATGTGTGTCCTATCCACTTCCAGCGCTTCTTCCTAATTTCTTCCTCCACTGGGATCTGGTTTGTTCTCTCCCACAGTACGTTGTTGCTAATAGTGTCCGGCGTAGACAATTGTTAATAAACACCTGTATTTTCTGGATGATGGTTTTCGTAGTTCTCCAGGTTTCTGCCCCATACAGTAGAACTGTCTTGACATTTGTATTGAAAATCCTGACATTGGTATTGGTTGACAGTTGCTTTGAGTCCCAGATGTTCTTCAGTTGTAAATATGCTGCTCTTGCTTTGCCGATCCGCGCCTTCACATCTGCATCAGATCCACCCTGTTCATCAATGATGCTGCCCAAATACGTAAAGGTTTTTACATCTTCCAAATCTTCTCCGTCAATTGTGATTGGATTGGTGCATTCTGTGTTGTATCGGAGAATCTTACTTTTCCCTTTGTGTATATTGAGACCTACTGCTGCTGAGGCTGCTGCTACACTGTTCGTCTTCTCCTGCATCTGTTGTTGCGTTTGGGATAGAAGGGCCAGATCGTCTGCGAAGTCTAGATCATCCAACTGCATCTTAGATGTCCATTGTATCCCGCGCTTCCCTTCAGACGTTGACGTCTTCATGATCCAGTCGATCAGCAGGAGAAAGAGAAAGGGTGGGAGTAAGCGACCTTGCCTAACACCGGTCTTCACTTCGAACGACTTTGTCAACTGTCCTCCATGCACGATTTTGCAGTGTAATCCATCATATGAGTTCTGTATGATATTGACTATCTTCTGAGGTACGCCGTAGTGTCGAAGAAGTTTCCATAGTGTTGTTCTGTCCACGCTGTGTTGCATCATTACTGCACCATTAAATTTTTGGAATATATTAGTCACTAATATTCACCTCTAGAATTAGAATTACAGGTCAGTAGTATAATTGCATATTGTCTAATGATTTTTATATACATCCTGAGATTGCATTCCAAAATATTGCTTTCACAGAAGTTGACGTTCAATCTTCTTCGCGTACATATGTGCATCGTGAATTTAATTTTGTTTTTATTGTATTTTGTAGTTTTTGTCGGGTCATGGCTTACTTCGCTCGTTGAAAAGAAAGTGATATCGGCAGACGCTTTATCACAATGGAAAAAAAGTGATAATGACGGTTCTGTAGCCAAAATTCTCTCTGGTATACCTGAATTAAGGAACTTATAGTGTTTATTTTATCTTTTGATAATTTTTTTATAAGAGCAGATTTTTATCTAAATTGCTCACATAGGACGATGCCTAGTTATTGTTGAAGTGATTAAAATAATTCAAAGCAATTATAAGTTATCTTATCAGTTGAACTGAATATAAACATAATCACTGATTCGATTCACACCGTAATTAACGTAATGCTGTACAATATTAGATATTAACTGAAACATGCAACGTAAGCGTGTTGTTGTTATAGAAGCCAAATAAAAATTTATGAATAGCTTTTGTTTCCAGCCTTATCATAAACATGTCAATTTTAATCTTCTTATACTTCCCTTGTTCTCTTTGTACACAACTATTTTTAACACTAATACTGCCGCAGTGGAAGTCATAATTATAGTACATTCTATTAGTTTTGTTGATTTTTTCTTGAAATGCACATGTATTTCTATCGGTTATTGATAATTTGTGATTGCCTTGATCAATTTTATTAACTTCGTCCTTGATTACTGTGAACAAGATAAATCCTTGAGCTTGTTTTAACTATGCTTTCACCTGTATTGTCTATCTTATTTGCTGTGCGATTTAATGACAGCCACTTCTACTAATGTATAAAATGCCAGTAGAAGATACACACACATATATAAACCCTTTATTTTTTGTATTTAAATTGTCCTGTTTCACTTGTTTATATCCCTCTTCTGATAGTTATCATTCTTTGCACAATATTAAATCCGGGCTTCTGAATAGCGTGATTTACTGTGAATATTCTTTCCTAATTGTAAACTTTGGCCATAAGACTTTGTGTGCTGTAATTTAGTGTTGGGTTTTCGGTTCTTCCAATTATTCTATTGCGTGGTTGTTTTCCATGTGTTTTGCCTACTTGTAAGGTGTTTTCTTGTGTGTAGATTTTTCAATCTCTTTCAAACATCCAATTCATACCATTAATTAAAAACATTGACTACTCTACTAACTCAAACGCACTTTGTATAAAAAAATGTACCTTTAAATTATGAAATGTGTTTACCTTGGTTTTACATCTTGTTACCGATGTCCAACAGTGTGAATTTCTGGCTTTGCGTAATTGAGTACAAAGAAAATAGGTAAAGGTCGTACTTTTACTTTATTTTCCCTCTCTTTAAACTTTAATGCTTAGAGATCCCAATTTAGATGTGTGAATGTAGGTACCAACATGTCTGTTATACTAAAGTCACAGATCTCATTTGATATGTGTGAGGGCTGTGATACTGCTCGGGTGTTCAAACTGAAGCAGGTGGTTGTCTAAGGGGGACACACCTGGAGCCTTCGACCTGAAGGTCTGATCCACAAGGCAGTGGAGCAACGTAAGGAGATGCACTCCCATGGTAGCCGGTGACCAACGATTGGTTCACACGCGATTTGCTTTTTCAGGATACTGGAGCCCATGTGCATCAATAGTTTGGGATCAGGGTTATTTCCCAACTCCCCTAGGTCTACTCACCGTGTCCACCAACCCGGCTGAAGCGCCGGACATTCGCTTTTCGTCCTCTCAATTTCGTAAACAATCCCGCCACGAGAAGGCAGTAAGTAGGACTTCCCTGGCAGAGGCTATGTGAGAGCATTTGGAGAGGGAGAGCGGACTCCCCACTCTCGGTCGTACCAGGGCGTTTGGAAGCAAAGTCATTGTCTACGCTTGCTGAATGCTATTGTTCCAAAAAATCAGTATGTGTCCGACATTCGTTGTGACAAGGTCTTATTTATTGAAAAACGCTTGATCATGTTTGATCTCCATGGATATTTCAATCCAGAGGAATCATTGAATATTGCATTCCAAATAACATTGCTAGGTTAAAATTTCACTGCACAAATGTCTTGTTTTATGTGTGAACTCCAAACAATTTTTAGATATGATTAGCAAACGTGACAGTTTTCGCTAATCGTCTATTAATTCTAAGCATCCATTGCTAGCTTACGTGGCATAGGCATGGATTTATCACCTAATCACATTTCGTTGCGGATAAAGTGACTAATTACTGAACATCCTTTTTGATAGGCGGTTCGATGCTTTGCATTTTCTACTCGTACCGAATATTTCGATTGTCTCGGGAGTGATGAGGTTTAAATTATAACGAATGCTGTTATATAAGTAGTTGCAAACCTATTGTCAAGAGCTCGGTGGTACCTAATCAAATATACTAGACAGTACATTTTGATGTTGGTGAGGAGAGTTTGCTTATAAATCGAATATCAGAGTTGTACTCGTATGTTTGAAATTGATTGTTAAGGTTATTTGCATTAAGATCAGTACTCACGTATTTCTCCTGATGATCTCATAAACGATGCTATTATCATCAATATTATTAGATGGTAAGCTTAGAAGCAGTTAAACACTGAAGGACTAAATCAAATGACCAACTGTTCACCAAAAATTCCTCAAACTTACGCTACCTTGATATATGTAGAAGTTCTCGTTAGTTAGTTGGTATTCTGTGAAATCTGTCAAGGTGGATGTAGTACATGATTCATTTGTTCGTCTCTATATATTGTCGTTCTTCGCTATATTTAAGCAGTCTCTTCCTAGTCAAACAAATTATTTGCATCCTTTCGACCAGAATTCCTGCGTTGCTAAACCGTCTTGTCGTGTCCGGTATTTCAACACACATATTGGTAAAATGCACCAAAATAAGTATAAGATAAACAAAAAGAAAACGAGGTTATAGATAGCAAGGAAAAGATGGTGTGTATAATTAAAGACAGTTGGACGGTAGTATTATTTTATTGAGAAAATAGTTCAATTTCGGAAAATATGTTTGAAAATATTACATTTAAATATCTTCATCTCCCTTTTCGTTATGTAAAACATCGCAATAGGACCGCTTCTGGCTGGTATTCTTGGTCGTATCTAATAACGTTCAAGGTCAATGCGCTGCATTATCCCTAATAATCCAATCGGGAGTCCAACCTTCGTACTTCACGTCCGCGACGCAGAGTAGCCGGGTGTAATCTGCCCAGGTCAGGTTCCATAAGCAAAGCGCGATCGCCCCTTACCGACGCGTTGTATACCTGATCTTGTGCAGCCAGACTAACGACAACAATGTCGAAGAAAGTCCATGCTGGCATAGGCTGTTCTAGCGTTCATTAATCATAAGTTAATTCTATCGGTTACATCAACACCAGCTCTTACACAGTTGCCCAATACACAAAGTTTCTATCTGCTCATTCAGCAAATTTCTGGCAGTCCTTGTAAGTGGTATGCACTTGGTAGGTGCACCTACCTATGCATGCATAGCACATATCAGTCAGCTACAATGTAGGGCCAGGCACATATATGCATCGGTCCAAGTTGCCACACCTCGTTAGCTCAACATGATGAACACCGAATTCATAGTAGTTACTTCAATGGCAATAAAAAAAACATTTCATATGATACAGGGAATTAGTTCATAGAAAGAAAGGCATAAAGTAAATTTGATCTCGCTGTTTAAGGGAGGATAAATAGTGCATACACCTATGCCATTGTGATCGATTCTGAGCCATGTCACCAAGAGTCTCCAACCATTGGTTACGTCAGTCACGCTGACGCCAACCAAGTAGTCTGCACCTACCAACTGGGTTCAGACCAGAATTTAATGTCTTCAAGCACTGGTGCCACGTTATTCCCAGTAGTGGGTCTAGAATCAAACAACGAGAATGAAGATAGTGGTCATCCTTGTCGGACATCACTTAAGGTTGCAAAATCAGATGACAGTTCGCCGTAAGCTCTGACTCGACTGGTAGTGTTCGAGTGAAGGGCCTTCACAAGGTTTATGCACTTATGAGGTACACAGACACTGCCACAGAACCTCTCGGTCTAATGCTGCTTTTAAGTCTAGAAAATATCACCGTCGGACGCCGATAAGTATGCCTGTGTTCTAAGATCTGACGAATCGTGTATATGTGGTCGGTGTAACCGTGACCAGGTCTGAAGTCAGTCTGATTTTCTCGTGTTTGCAATTCATAAGTCTTTGTTAGGCGTCAAATAATTATTGAGGCTAGTATTTTAGATGCTATATTATTTAGACTAATCCCTCTATGGTTATCACAGGATGATTTTGATCCTTCTATATTGGGACAACCAATAATTGAGAGCAGTCAGATGGGGTCACATCTAGTTCCCCGATTTCAGCTAAAGTATTAGTCAACCCAATCTCTAAAACTGGACCACCATCCTTAAAGACATTTGGACCAGCTGCTCTTCCTCGTTTCAGATTAGCTATAGCTTTGTGAACATCAATTAGAGTCGTTGGAATTTCTTCAATGTTCCATTCAGGCTTTTTGGGAATGGTGGGTAGTCATAGAGTAGATAAATGCTAGCCGAACTGCTCCTTAAAGTGTTCCGCTCATCAGGTTGAGAGCAGATAAGTGTCGTCTTTTTCCGAGATAGTCTCATACTTGAGTTTTTAGTTCTAGTTTCTTTTATTAGTCTGAAGCTCTGTCTTTTGTTGCCTTCAGCTGCCGCCTTTTCTATCTCTTTTGCTTTAGATGCCCATCATTGCTCACGGTCGTTCCTAAGACCTTGGTTAACTTATATCTGATTCGATTTTGCTCTTCATTGCATTCAGAGCCTGATGAGATGAGTTTACGAGAGTCCATCAGTACCACATACTTAGAAGAGATCCATTGGTTTAAACCACTAATAGGTGTCACTGCTGTTTCCACAGCTGTTTGTATGTTTTCCCAAGCAACATCTGGGTCAGCCTCGTTTTCAGAACTATCTAAGTGTGACCTCAGTTGTTACTGGAACCTACTTTTGGTTTTCTCATTACTCAATTCAATTCTGATGAGTCTTTTTGGTGTTGCTTTCTTGCGCCCAGTGAGGCTCAAGCAGATGTGTGTCCGTATTAGTGCATGGTCGGAGTTCGCGCAAAATGAGCAACAATCTCCTATCGACCCTCTCCAACGATGACTGATGATAATATGGTATATTTGAGTCGATCGTTGGTTTAGTGTAGAAGGTCTCCATGTTAGACGACGTTTCTCCCTATGCTTAAAATTAATGTTCGCTAAAAATAAACGGTTGTCTAAGTACAGTTACAGCAGTCGATCACCATTATCTGTTCACTGAACCGGAATACCAAAATACCCACCTAAATGTTTTTCTGGTTGGCTTAAGCTACCTACCTAGGCATTAAAGTCACCTGCTACTTGTGCTATGTCTGAACGTTCAGCTTTCTGAACTTCTTCAGAAAGCTTTCTGCAAAAGTCATATTTAACTTCATCCGAGCTGCAGTCAGTGGAAGCGTAGACAGAAACGATGAAAAGGCAACGACATGTGTCCCTGTTCTTTCGAGTTCTTATGGAGCCGTCAAGCCGAATAGCACATAAACGACTGTTAACGGGGATCCACTCTAACAGTGCTTGTCATGCCCTTGTACTTAATGCTATGCCTACACCTGCCAGTCCATGAGAACTATCCATTGTGTCACCAGATACACGGAGGGTGTATCCCGTCGGCTCTCCGTTTTGGTGAGATGAGGTCAAGTGAATGAGCACACTAGGATCCTGTGTGCGTGTTGCGAAGACACAGCATACATCAATGGCACAAAATTCTAGGGTTTTAGCCAAGGAGGCCTGCCGACCGATTTGACATAGGGTGCGTACCTTGAACGCTCCAATGTATAGTTTGGAGCGAGGTTTCATTAGACCTGGGACTGTGTTTTGCTCACTAGAATTGTTGGCTTTGGCGATACTTGAGGAGGAAACCAAATGAAGAATCTTAGTGTTGAAAGTCGGTGTAGAGGGAATAATAGGAATTGAAGAGGGAGGTTGATTATGAAAACGGTGATCTTAAGTGCTTTCCGAGGTATGAGGGCGGTTATCACTTCTCGGTTGCACACATAGTGGGATGGTTCTAGATGTACTTGGGAAGGAAACTTGGTAGATGGTCAGTTACACGACGTTTTTGTGAGTAATTTTCGTGTTAGCTTCGTACTTGTTGAGACCTTACCGCCGGGGACAGATATCTTCTAATCTCACCACTCCTCGTAAATCTTAAAGCTTGGCTATCCTCGTACAATAAGACCCTGCCATCTACGTATTCAAGATCAAAAAGTACAGGTAACAGAAACTAATCCTCATTATCCGCTCTCGTCAGAGCTGTTTCCAG